TGCAGCGTAAGGCACACCGCACTGCAGAGACGAAAAAAAAAAAAAAAAAAAAAAAAAAAAAAAAAAAAAACATAGCCCCTCAAATGAAACTGTCAGTGGTACTCCTAGTCCTTCCAGTGACGATCGGCGGGGGGGTAACTTTGGACAAGGTTAACCCATGTCCAGCATGGGGAAAAAAAAATTATGAAATTAAAAAATCATTCTTCGTAAAAAATGGGTGTACGTTATGCAAGAAGAGGAAGCACCTCCGACATTACTCCAACGCAGAAGGGAATAGCTACACGAATATGTATAAAATTAAAAACCCACTAAAATGTAAATTAGTGGACAAGGTAAATTTGGTAAGACAGAATGCCCTGCATGAAGTGTACCATTTGGAAATAGACCATGGGGGTATGTTCAAATATTTAGAGGGGCAGTCATGTGGGGTGATTCCTTATTATGAGGAGGTAGCCCGAGGGGAAGATAAAAATAACCCCCAGGATGGAGGGAAAAAAGGGCAGAGATTATGTGCAAGGCTTTATTCTATATCTTCAAGCAACTCGGACAATCTCACCTTTGCTATTAGAATTCATACTTATGAGGAAGAAAAAAATGGACAGCCACATCTGAATTATGGTTACTGTTCAGGTTATATAAAAGGGTTAAGGAAAAACGATAATATATATTTAACAGGAGCACATGGATCCTTTGTTCTTCCAAATAATGTGTTTGAAGAAAATACAAATTTAATTTTAATTGCAACGGGAACGGGTATCTCTCCTTACATATCTTTTTTAAAAAAAATCTTCGGTGACAAACAAGGTGATACTTGGCCAGAAAAAAAAACAACCTATAACGGGCAAATATATCTGTACTACGGAGTATACAATGAAGACTCCATTTTATACATGCAGGAGTTAGAAGATTTTGTGAAGAGGTACCCGAATAACTTCCACGTCGAGTATGTCTTTTCGTGTAATAAAAATATGGATGGCACTTCCCACCATGTGCAGGACGAAATATATAAAAAGCGAGAAAACTTTTTGCGCCTTTTTAATGACCTGAAATGTGAGCTGTACATTTGTGGCCATAAGTCCATACGGGCAACAATGTTGGACATTCTCAAGGGAGAAAACCAGGTATGGGACGCCGAGAAAAGGAAGCGCGTTCACGTGGAGGTTTACTAGGCGCGTTTATAACATAAGCCAACGGTAGGGTTTCAGATGGGCAGGCGGAGCATACATTCTTCATGAGATGACGTGACATGGTGCGAAGGAGTTATATAAGGCTGGTCCCGCTGCTAGCGTTTATATGGCGTATTTATTATTTTTTTATGTGGACTTGGCAAGGGGGTCTAAAACAAAAAAAATGTGACTTGTTTGGTATGTGCAGAGGGGTGTAAGAAAAGAAGCGGATAAGCATAAAAATAAGCAGCACGTGTGCATGTACGCGACGTGCTTACGCTTACCGGTTTGCATTAGCCCCAGGCGCGTCTTGGTCAGTCCTTTTTCTTCCCGCCGAATAACGTAAAATAGCTCAAGAGGGAGTTGGAGAAGAAGTCCAGGCACACGTTGCAGCAGCAGAGGAATAACACCAGGACGCTGATCACGTAGATTATCCACCACATGGCGTACGCCACTGCAGTTTGGGGGGGTGGGAAGGGGCAGTTATATAAATATGTATCGACACTTATAAGTATGTTGCGGTAGTAATGAATATTTTTCAGTACTAATGAATACTTATGGGCAGTTATAAATACTTGTCGGCACTTTGCATTATTGTGCAATAGGTAGCAGCAGTGTGAGAAAGCTAACCCGGTGTGTGGTAGACCACGTACTTGGTGAGCCCCCTTGTTATTGGTACTGTGAGGTGGTAAAAAAAGGGGGTAGGGTGACAGTGTAGAAGCATACAGCAAGCAGTGCCGATCTGCGCATGTACACGCGCGGATGCGTAAAGTTGAAGGGGAAGGTTTTTTTTTTTTTTTTTTTTTTTTTTTTTTTTTATTGACATTTCTGCACTTACCATCGCAGGGGGGAGGCACCTCGATCTTTTCATTTCCCCAATTAAGCATGGAAGAACTTTGTTTATCCTTTTGCGTCCATCCATTGTGGCATTTACAAATAACTCTGTTCAGTTTAATGATAAAAAGACATGTACCGTTCAGGCAAGGATTCGTTTCTGGTGATGAGCAAGGATTATTTTCAATTTCGCAATTCTTCCCCGTGTATAAATCTCCGCAATCACATGTGTAATAGGGTTTCTTATCAATGGGTATGCATTTTCCTGGGGAGGGGAACAGGGGGTAAGGCAAAATGACGAAATGGACGTTGCGCATACAGTGGGGCAGCAGCAATGAATGGTCAACAATGAATGGTGAAAAATCGCAGGCGGGAGAGTGACCCCCCCTATTCTGCTCGCCACTTCACGTGTGCACAACAATATGTACAAAGCGAACCCCTTCTGCACAAGGCAATAGAGCATGATTCGTCCGTTCCTCGAATGTTACAGTCCTGGTCGCACATGTTCCATTTCTTCGTGCAATGGACCCCCTTCTCATTAGGATTACACAAGCATACCTGTTTATTATCGTCCAAAACGAAACAGGCGTTTTTGCACTTGTGATTATCTTCACACTTTAGGCAATTCACAGTACCTATTATATTGTGCACACAGAACAGCAAAAGTATGGTGATGACCCAGCTGGGCAGTGGGGCCATAACGAGACAAGGGGGGGGAAGGGGGCGCACAGGATATGGGAAACTTGGCCTCTAAATGGGTGTGTGTGTGGGGGGAGAAATATACCTACAGCCATGTGTACCAAGCACATGTACACACTTTCGTGATGGCGCATGAGCTTAAGCGAACGCGCAGGGGGTAGTTAAATGTGCAGAACGGGGGGTAAACACACTACAACAATACACACAATTTTTTTTTGAGTAACAAAAAAAGGGTGGTCTTTGAAACATTCCAGCTTTTTATCTTTTCATTTGTGAATTTTTTTTTTTTTTTTTTTTTTTTTGTTGCGACCCTGTTCACTTCTCCGTAGTGTGTCGGACCCATGCGCATTTGTTACACATGGGATGCTTCTTATAAAGTAGCAACGGAAGGAAGAAAAAAAAAAAACCTTTCATCGGGTCCAGTTAGATGAGGCAAAAATTGAAGCGGTGGCTTATAAATAGAAAAAATTTCCAGTTCTTCTTAAGCACAAATGGACGCACTGGACACAGTCGCCATACAACACACATGAGGGACTCCCCACGTAAAAGAAGCATAACACCGATGAGCGGTGCGAGGGTACATACTACTCCCCTTTTGTATATCGAAATGGTAATTTGGATCAATTCTTAACATGCAAAGAAGGGTTATTCACAAAAGATCATTTAATTTGTTTAAGGATGAAGCAGCCATGATGGGTATAAGCATGTACATGGGAACAGCATCACACCACGTCGCCCCCAGGGATGGGAAGCATGTGTGAAATGTAGCAAAGGGGAGCTCCCATTCAAAAGGGGTGGGGGGAAAATGGCAAAAAAGAAGAGGGAGAGAAAAAAAAAAAAAAGCCTTCATCAAATAAAATGGCGATCACTTCCAATAGGTGGTGAAGCTTTACAACTGTGTGTATGTGTGTACATATGTGCATGTATGCTGGTTTGCACATTTGCACGTTTGCAGACGGGCATACATGCAAACGTGCAAACGGGCGTGCGCGTTTGGAGGCATCCACAACTTTCGCGCGCTGCGGGAGTTACGCAGGACATGTCCAACTCGTGTGCACTGTTGTCATGCAGGCATTTCAGCACGGAAAAGGAAAAGGGAAAAAAAAAAAAAAAAAATTAACATAGATGGACACACGAGAAGGCATATTTTTTTTTGTAGCGACAAGATTCACAGTTTTCCATTTGGGTAGGAACCTTTTGGCACCACCAACACGGGAGGTGGAGGTTAAAGGGCCCTCATGCAGCGAGTAATGCTCATGTCTTGGTAGGTGCGGCACGTGGATAACCACACACACTGAGTTAGCCGGTCAATACTTTTGCGAACGTAATTTAATGGCGGGGAGGGGCCCGTCGGACTCGGGCCAAGAGACAGCAATGCCATTTTGAAAAAGCATAGGTTTATATTGTGGGATGGGAATGGTCATGATGGCAGAATTTCTGTAGTGTTCGATGTTGGCCTTGAGTCCTTGTACTCTTCCCCAGGTAACAGTGCACACTTTGTTGCTTTTAAAAACATTAAGTTTGTAATTATTAAAAAATCGTATGAACAGTTCAGCATAGTATGGATGTATAAAATTGATAAAGGCGTACCCAACGTTACATTTATTGCGGAAATCAATTGGAAGGTAAAAAAAATCATACAGTCCTTTAAAATGTTCATTCATCACATTCATGAGCATTTTTTGTGTGTACTTGTTAGGAATATTTCGCAGCATCACTGTGGTTAGTATATTCGTGTTATTATTATCAAGGTTGTGAAAATTGAGAATGGTCCCTAATGGAATTGAGTCTTCACATTTGTACACTACATCATTTGTGCTGTTGTTTGTGTGCGTGCGTTTTGCACAGCAGTTGTTCAGGCGATTAGTGCTCTTCGTATGGACGTGAGCTGTGTTCGTACTTTCTTGTATGGGCTTATTGCTAGTTCCCGCTCCCCCTGAGCACGTGCAGCCTGTTGGAAGGCAACACAGCGAAGTGTGCACTTGTTCCGTGCTATCTCGGTAATATTTATTGTAAGCAACGCAATCGCATTTCTTTTCGTCCCTGGGGCATGTCTTAGACGGGACTCCCCTTTTTTCTGCGCTGTCATTTGTCTTGTCTTTGTTAGTGCCTTCCTTGCTGCGTAGCGCATCCCCGCGATGTACAGCTTCACCTCCGCGTAGCGTATCCTTGCTGCTTACGAATTCCTCACTGCGGACGATGCCTCCATCACGAATTATGTCCTGGCTCCGAATAATGGTGAGGTCCTTTGCATTGCCAACCCAGTCTTCTTTCTCCTGCGCAGGCACGCCCTGCTCCTTGTCGCTGCCAAAGTCAGAATTCATGCGAATCATGGTGGTGACGCTATTCAGTTCGCATGCGTTTCCTCTATTCTCAAAGCATTTTAAATTTAGCTCATTAATTAAGGCATATCTTAAAATTTTTTTTTCATGAATTCCATCTTTGAAGTAGTTCAATTTGTGCTTAATAAAGACTCGGTTTTTTTCATTCGTTAGGAGGTTGTTCAATTTTGCAAACTCATTTTCGTTATTTCCTTTTCTATTGTTATAGAGGACGTATGGCGAAATGTATGTATTTTTTATGTGTACAGTTGTTTTGTCCTTGCCCTTTTTCATTGTGTCACTTTGCCTGCTTGTGAAACTGGTCTCCCGCATGTGGGCATTCATTTTGGCGCGCAGTTACTGGTTGCTTCTGTTATGAGAGGGGATGCAAAAAAAACGATTGATTCCACGAGCAAGTATGTTTTACACTGGGGTAACACGTTCACACACAAGTAGATTCTACCCCCCTGACGTGACACAGATGATGCAGATTTGGGCTGCAGTGACAACAATGGGCACATGTTCCACGATGCTCTTTTTTTTTTTTTTTTTTTTTTTT